AAAATAATTATTGTGGATTAGATTGTTGTAGGGTTCTTCCTGTTAAAAGGAGTTGTTTCTTTCCACTGTCACCACATGCTTGCTCAGACTGATTCAATGCATTCAGCCTGGCTTCCTTAAATCTAATGTTTTGCCACTTGGCATCAAATTATTGACTGATCTTGATTGTGTTCTATTAAAACTTGAAGTTTAGATTATCTTGGATCTTAATTTCCACTAACATTGGAAAAGTTATGACCTGTTGAAGTACTTGGCAGGCTGACCAACATTTCTGAAGCATTTGCTTTGGAGAAAAGCTGCCACACTGATAATGTGCTGATGCCAAGTAACCTGAAACTCTGACCCGAGCAGAATCATAACATAAAAACATTTTTCTGCATCTCTAATTGCCTCATTTATGCCTTTTCCCCTCTGAAGTGTTTAATGTACGCAATCCCATTTCCTCCTGCGTTGGAAACATTAACGTGTGAAATTCCTTATAGATTGTAATTATCTGGCCGTCATGAGGGCGGCGTACGATGAATGTCGTGCTATTCATCAGGACCGCTAGAAAAATTCAGTTTTACTCATCATCAGTAACCCGCAGCACTAATGGCTGCTCCTCCATCATTTGGCAAACTTCCAGCCAGTGATGTAATAATAAGAGAAACAAACTGAAGCACTTTACATCGTGACGGTGCAGATGGCGCTCCAGAATATAAAAAAGAGCTTCTAAGAAATGTTTTGGCTTAAATATCTTAAAATAAAATTCTTAATTTGTCTCCTCATCCTGACCATTTTAAGAATAACATTTGACCTTTGAACCCTTCAAGCTTTTATTATTTTTTATGGGATTTATAAGGTTCTCACACACAACAGACAAAGCAATGGCAACTGAGCAACTTGTCCAATAAAAACCAAACAAACCCCGAATTCTCATTTATCTAGTTCATTCTTTGAAAAATACCAAAGATACCACAGACTGTGGACGCTGACATTACCATTAGCATCTGCGCTGCTGCTACATGTTTAGCATTGAGATGCTATTTCAGGCCTGAACAGCTTTGCTGACAGGCACAGTCCTTTTAGCACAACTTGAAGACAACAATTGTCTTTTCCAGCATCCAATCAGATTGTTTTGGAATCTGAAACTAACTCTTAGTAGACCGAGAGAAGCAGTTTCTTTCTCCATTGTTAACATTTGCGGATTTCACTTGTGCATCAGGTTTCTGGGTGTACCAGAAAAATGTGAATAAAAAGATTCCGGCTTAGGAAGAAAGACGTTACTGCATTAAATTCTCTATAATTATTTCATCATATTTGAAAAATTTAAGTCCCGACCCTACCTCAAAGGTTACATATTAATAAAGGTTTACTTATTTACTTCTGTACTTTAAAACTGAAGAAGCCTTTTGGATGAGAGATGAAACATTTTCAAGAAACAGTAGAATAAGTTCTACTCAAGCACTTAGGGTTAGCTTACCTACTAATGTATCGCCTGAGTATAAAAAGGGAGTTTAAATTAGGAGCTCAAGTTGCCATCGCTGGCATTATTATGTGGACTAATAATTTTCTGAAGAAAAGCCACAGTACCAAGAACCTGAGAAAAACTGTCTGTTTAGTTGGAAGCAGAGTGAAAATAAACTATGGCTAGTTTAAAACGTTTCCACATCTACTAGAACAAATAAAACTTTAGTAAGTGAGATCCAGAGTATGAACAGGTCTGCTACCTTTGTGTCTTGCAAAGTAGCGTCCCAAGACGATGAGCAGGCAGAGCATGGCGAAGACGACCACGGCCACCACTCCTCCGATGACGGCGTGGTCCACCGTCCTCGGTGCGCCTTCTCCAGCTCGAGAGTCTGAGAAGAGAAAAGGCCATGAGAGAAACAGAACCCATAAAACCGCCTGCGACATGGTGGGAAAAGCGATTAACTACTGAACCGCTGTGGATCTGACAGAGAAATGTAATGTAGATGTAGGTTCCTCTTAATGGAGAAGAACCTAAAATCTGCTGCTGTAGCAACTCAGAAACACGGCGGTGTGGGTCGCCTGTGACCGGGCGACTAACTCACATCCTATTAATATATAAATGTTACTACTATCGTTCAATATAAACTAGATTATTTTGTTAATTTTATTCATCAATTTATTGAAAAACATGAAAAAAGACACCAAAGTCAAACTGAAGTAGCAACACTTGATAGTTATATTTAGATATAAATCTAAATAACACAATATTTAATAAAGTATTCACACCCCTGTAGCTTTTCCACATTTGTCACAACAAATGATCAAGTATTGTCTGGGATTATAAATCATAAACCAACACAGAGTTGAGGATAATTGCAAAGTGGAAAGAAAATCATGTGAAGTGGCGGTGAATCCTCCCAGGAGAGGCTAAACCACTGAAATGACTCCAACAGCTCATCACTATTTATGTTTCCATCAACGTTTTCATGTTGGTTTGGTTCAGTAGTGGAGGTCCAACTGTGATCTGGAACATTTCATCTTGTTGTGACTAGTCTGGTTCTTTGACTCCAGCAGGAAATCATCTTAAAAAGCTAATCGAGCTCCTCAAAACATTGAGAAAGACTTTTTTTCCCTCTTATTTTGTCAAACATAAAGCTGCAACTAACGGTCACAAATTGCCACAGTTCACAGTTTGAGATGATTTTTAAAAAAAGTCAGGAACTATAAATGGTTTTTAAATTTTCCTTCCTTTGACGGTTCAAACAAAGAGCCATGCAGTTTAAAATCCGCTTCCCCACGTGAGATAATGAAACCACAGTGGCTGTGTTTCCCTTAATGAAAGTAATTGCACCTAAGTGATAGTTTCTGCGTATAAATTGCCTCCCGGGACATTTCCAGGAACTGTCAGGGATCTGCGGCTCATTTCAAACTGACCCCAGAGCAGATTGACGCCGCTTTTCGGTGTGATTTAAATAAAAATTACTACCTTTTAAACCGACTTTGTAATTATTTCTCATCCTGCTGTTTGCAGAGCAGAGAGGAAGTTAGTCGGCACTGAATTTATGAATGCATTACGTCTGCTGCCCCCTACAGGACAAACCTCCACAACAGACGAATAAACTTTTATTTGCTGTGCTGACTTTGAATTCATCTCACTCCGTTTCTCCACTAAAATTAATTTAAACCAGAAACTTTTGATGCAGACAATCACAACCGTCCTCTGCACCCCGTCTGCAGCCCTCCACCCCCCCAAAGCCCACATTAACATCGTAATAGGAAAGTCTGTTAAAGCACAACTCTCGCAGCCTGACAAGAAGTGAATTGGATGTCAGAAGGATTCCTGCTCAGTTTAATTGAACTTGCCCGGTGCTAAAAAAAGAAAATCTGCAGTCAAAATAACCTATTAGATCTATAAGGTGAAGCTTTGTTGAATTTGACAGGTAGAACAGCACTGACCTCCACAACGCTTTTTTCATCACAGTGTTAAGAAAATGGTCTGAGTAAATACAAAAAGCATTTTTAAAATGGTAACTACCCCCTAAACTTAATCATTTTGTCCCAATCTTCTTGTTCATTCAGCTACACTGGAGGTTTTTAGACCCTAAACATCCTATTTAAGATCACCCCACACCATCCCAACCAGATTTAAATCAGAACTTTGACTAGGCCACTCTATCTTTTGTGCTGGTTAAACCATTCAGAGGTGGATCATTGTTGTCCTGCCTAACCCAAACCGGTCCATCAGCTGCAGTATTCAATATATTAGCCATCTCCCAAATCAGAAGTTAATTTTGGGATTTCATATAATATGTTTATGATTGGTGTCATGTTGGATGACTGTAAACTATGTCAGAATTTTACTTCATAAAGTTTTCTTTAAATAAAAAAATAAGAGTTTATCACTGGTGGTGCTAACACCAGAATATTCGTGCTATTGGACAGCAGAGGAATGGTGACTAATCTAGCCATGGTAGGTAGTCACCAGTCTCTACAAAGCTAATGCTATCCTGTCCATGCTAATGCAGAATACAGGAAATGGCCAATTCAGTGGGTGACCAGCTAGTGAATAGACTGCTATTCACTAGCCTCTCCAAAGCTAATGCTAGTAAGTAACCTCCTTTTGATTTGGTAGCATCAGCCAATCATTTACCGTTGTTGGCCAATCATTAATCAGATCAGTTGTTAGCTTCAGAATAAATGTAGCTTCCTGCGACAAGTTTCCTCTGATGTACAAGTACAAGTCAGCCTAGGCATGCTAGTTGTTAGCCTCTCCAAAGCTAACGCTAGACCATCTTTGCTAATGACCAGCAGAGGAAGTAGCCAACCCAGTGGGCGACCAACCTGTGTGCTTGTCACTAGCCTCTCCAAAGCTAACGCTGGTGAGTTGCCTCAGTTACAGTTACTAGCCACTCATTACTCAGATCAGTAGCTAGCTTAAAAATACATTTAGTGTCCTGTAACAAGGAAACAGCCCCCGCTGGGTCTCAATAGTCTTAATTTTAGCTCTGAAACTGCACCAGTTGCAGACCTTGGTTGGAGCCAGTGGTTATTTGAGCTAACATTGCGGTTTCCTCTGACATCAGGTGATTTTTCTCCACACAATGGCAGCTCTTTGGATACTTCTTCTCTTTCTTCACCATTCTCTGTAAAGCTGACAGATGTTTGTACGCAGATGTATGTCGTGTTCTTATTCCTCCGTGAAATTAGAACTTTTCAACTGAATTAATAAAAGCCTTAAATTAATATGACATTCATGCTGATGAGCTGTAATAAATAGTTTGAGGCTGGTTATAAACCATGTCACAAATCTCGCTTGGAATGTAATTAGTGGGAAACTTGCAGGATCTTCGTTAAAGCACCGTGAAGATGCATCGTGTTGATGAGACCAAATGGGTTATTAGAGGACTTAATGTAGCAGCAAAAAAATAACATTAACCTCAGAATGGAAGTTGTGAACTGAAGATGTAGGACATTATGAGAAAAAACAACTGTGTAAGAGATAGTCATAATTACTTCCCCAGCAGTAGCTCATGTTTAATGGCTCTCAGCTACTGTACCGTCCCTTTACAGCTGGGGACGTATACCTGCTCTACTTCCTGCTCATTCTGAAATTTTTTTATTGACACACTTTAAATTTAGGCACAGTAGAGTCTCCTGAAAGTTTTCTGTGCTTTCATTTTCAAACTTTATCTTGAAATGTGCTTGAAATCTAAAAGCTGAAGTTAAGGTTGGATGATACGGCTGAAAAACGAATCACAATATAAGAGTTTCATATCAGTGGATTTCAAACATTATTGATGAGTTTTTTATTGTTTTAAATGTCTGAAATACTGTCAAACTGGTGGAGTGACCTTTCTTGTTTTATCTACAGCTTTCACAACACGCTACTTTTTTTTAAAGCCGTTATGAAGCACAAAGGCAAAACCTGAAACTGCTGCTGCGCAAGTTACTCAGCAGGTTGTTGCTAGGCAACCAAAGAATGAGCGAGTTGCTCATTCTTTGGTAACCAAAGAGTGAGTGAGTTGCTAGGTAACCAAAGAGTGAGTGAGTCAGCTGTTGTCACCAACCTAGCTTAACGGGCCGTGAGAGTTTGAGAGGCTAAAGCTTTTCTTCTGCCTACATCTCCCAGAATGCTGTGTGGTTCTGGATGTGAGTTCAGTGAATATTCTATATATTGTTACCTTCATAAAATATTGGCCTAAATCATTTTTTTTTTTTTTTTTTTTTGCCAAATGTCACTTTGGCAATAAAAACAACTTTCTACACTGTAGACCAAAATCTCCAAATTGAAAGTATTCAGGGGCTAAAACTGTTTTTCTCCCCAAGTGAAAAACCTGAAAATAATGTGAAATCTCTCTCTTTTACCTGCACAACATTAAATAAAACACACAATATTTTATATTTACCTTAGCATTTAATCATTTAACATTTGGGCTTATTATTTTCCTTTTTTTTAAAGTCTATAAAATGTTTTTGGTTTATTCCCAGAAATGCCCAAACATTGCTGCATGTAGCCAAATACAACAGATGGGTGTTGGGATGTCTGTATTTAACCTGTTGGTCTCAGGTTGTCATTCACAATGACAGGAGTGTCAAACTCCAGTCCTCCAGGGTCGCTGTCCTGCAGTGTTTAGATGTGCCACAGGTAAAAAACAGTGGAATGAAATGGCTTAATTACCTCCTCCCTGTGTAGATCGGTTCTCCTGAGCCTTGCTAATGACCTAATTATTATTTTCAGGTGTGGTGCAGCAGAGGCACATCTAAAAGTTGCAGGACAGAGGCCCTTGAGGACTGGAGTTTGACACCCCTGGAACCTGTCACGAGAGGACCCAAATTTGGGTCCTCTCGTGACAGACAGGTTAAGTAAAAACTCAAGATGTTTGTGACAGCGCTTATTACAAGACAAAAAAAAGCTAACTAAAGAAAAATGATTTCTGTTGCACTTAACATTTTTAGTTGAAAGATATAAACTTGCCATGGAAGATATCATGCTAAAAGAATGTTGAAAAAAGTTTGAAGGGCATAAAAAGTTAATCCAAGGGCCACAAAATGACAAAAAAGGGGAAAAAATTATGATATTGAATGTTGAATATTGTATCAGGTGTATTATACACTGATACTGATCATGTGATTGTCCCAAACGGAGGATCCAGCAGTCAATCGGGAGCGGCCATTTTGCCGGGAGAGAAACTTAGGTGTGAGACTTTCTCATTTTCATGGAACATGTTGACGGAGAAGTGAAAGATCTCCTAATTGGATCTCCTAATCTGCTAATTAAGCATTGGTGATTTGGGTGCTGTGCCTGTAGATAGAGGGGCAATAAGGAATACAGCAGCACAATGTGGGCGGAGTGTCACCGGCGCACAAACGCCTCGTCAAGACCCACTTC